GCCTCCGAGCCTCAGTTTCCTCAACTCTGAGTTGGCTGGCTGCCCCTGGCCATGCGGAGGCACACAGGTTAACTCACACCGGCACTCGGGCGGCACCTAAGGAGGACCCTGGCTCGGCTGTTGGTGCTGCTGTGCCCACGGCCGTCTGCGAGTGCTGTCTTCAGGGTCACTTCCTCCCTCTGCCCTTCCAGCATGGAGGGTTTGATCCAACTGCTCGCATTTGTTTGTTCCTCCCTAAGGTGCTGCTTCCCAGGACTTCTCCGAGCAGAGGAAGGGAAGAAGGAACCCCCGCTACCCTTGCTTCCTCCCCAGTGGTGCCCGGTGCCCGGTGCCCGAACACCTTGCATCTCCCGGGGAAGCCAGCAAGGTGGGGTTGGCTTCTCGCAGCATCTGGGTTTTCACCTGCTCTTTCGTGACCCCCGAGTTTATCCCAGTCGGTCTTCAAATACTGTTTCCGCTGGGCAGCTGGGGAGTCCCATCACTGCAGGGGTGTTGGAGCTGGGGGCAGAGGCTGGCAAGCGGGGCCACCTGGAAACACAGCCCTTCAAGGGGTGTTGAGGAAGTCATTCCCAAAGGGCAGCCGCTGGCCCAGCTCCTCCCAGCACCTCGGACGCTCTGGAGCTCACTGAGGGATGAGCTGGAAGTGGAAATCCGGGACCCCAAAGCCTCACCCACTCCTGAGTCTCACCATGGCCCCTTCCGTCTCTATAGAGATTCCAACTGCGTCTGTTCAATGTCTTCCTCTGTTTTTCTGGGTGATTTTCAAATCAAAAGTGGAAATATTTCCCCACCCAGTAGGGGAAGAAGACTTTTCCCCATTAACCTGAAAAATCACCAAAAGCTGGCAGAAGTGGGGGTGCTGGAGACCCGCAGCCGCAGGTTGCACCAGACAAGTGCCAGCCCCGCCCCTTCCTCCATCACCCTCCTCCACCCACCGTGGTGCCCGGCAGTGCTGCCCCCACACGGCCAGCTCCGGCCATTTGTGACTCGTCACTATCTGAGCAGCAGTGTCACCTCCTGAGCAGGTGCCTCCGAGATGCCGGATTATCTAAGGCCCACAAAGCCCCTGGCTTTAACCCTTGGGCGAGTCAGCCCGACTGCATGCGGATCGGTTTATAATGGGGCACCAGTACTTAGGGAGGGATGTCGGTGCAGCGGGGCCCCTGAGTCATCCTCCCCAGCGCCCCATTTCTGCGTGTGACACATCCATCCCCTGCCTGCACCCAGCACCCTGCGAGGCAGCAACATAGGACGGATCTTATTCCAACGCGCCAGAGTGACAGCATGCTTAAAATACACCTCGGTGTGAGGCCTGGGGAGGGGCAGCAGACGTGGTGTCGTCCGCCCTTGCCGGGTCGGGACACTGGGCCTCGGGGTGGGCACACCTGGGGACAGAGCAAGCCCTTCCGAGAGGCAGCTGTGGCGGAGTGGATGGGGCCAGAGCCCACTCTGGCCGTTTAACAGAGAGTTAACTTTCCAGCCAGCTATGATTTGTAAGAGAGCTTAAAGGTGGCAAAGAAAATCCTTTTCTTAGATTCAGCAGCTTTCACTAATCAGCTGCATCTCCGGGTGTCACTGCTTGGCTGACTGCTGCTACATTTTCTCCCCTCTGTCTGCAGCTCCTGTTAGGGAGCCAGGGGCCCAGGGGACCCGAGCAGGGTTAGTCTTCCACAAAGGCAGGCAGCTGATCCCGTGTTCAGAGCACACGAGCTTGTAAATCACACTGTTAGCTTAATAGCCAGGGCCATTATTCTAAAGCAGTGGGGCTGAAACCAAATGCCGAATGAAAATATCGCCCATTTGTTCATACTTTGGTGGCTGAACAACTATGTAATGTCAGCAGGATCAGTGCCCTGGGTAGGCCACCTCTGGGGAGGGCCGTGAGGCGCAGGGCCAGACCCGAGGGAGGGCGCGTCCATCGGACCTCCCGTCAGAACTCGGACTGGTCCATGAAGATCCCGCTTCTGGAAGCCCACAGCTTCCCGGGGCGAGGGAGCACTTGCACCAGGAAGGACAGGTTCACAGGGGGCTGTTTACTGGAAAGACACCTGAGGAAGAAGGAGGGCTCTCTGCCTTCTAAAACCATTTTTTAAAAATAGCCTTGGGCTGGGAATGTAGCTCAGCAGCACAGTACCTGCCTGGCAAGCATGAGGCCCTGAGTTTGGTTCCCAGTAGCAAAAATTAAAAAATCTGAAATGGCCTCACTGGTTTTATAGAAACTACATGGACTCAGCTGGGTGCAGCAGCGCACACCTGTACTTCAAGCACCCTGGGAGGCTGAAGCAGGAGGATCACAAGTTCAGACCCAGCACAGGCAACTTCAATAAGAACTTGTTTCAAAATAAAATCATAAAAAAGACTGCAGATGTGACTCAGTGTGAAGGCCCTGGGTTCAATGCCCAGTACCACAAAAGTTAGAAAGAAAAAAAAAATTAAAAAAAAACCCATGCAGTAGAGAACGTTAAGAGACAGAGAAATCGCCCTACCACGGCGGGGGGGCTCGTCCCAGAGTCTGCCTCACTGGACTGGTACCGGGCCTGTGGGTGCTCTGTCTGGAATCACACCCAGCGGCACTACAGCAGTGTCAGCTGGCACAGGCGGAAGTTGTCCTTCCCTGACTGTGTCGTGCTCGGCTGTCACAGCCCCCCAGCGTGGGCCCGGCCATCTCTCCGTGGCCACCGTCCCTTCTCTCGCTGTGTGGCTGGTGCAGCCATCCGCATGTGGGAGCAAACCACCTCTGTCTTCAGGCAGGAGGTTCAACCATCAACTTTTCCTGGCTTGCGATTAGGTGACCAGAGCCAAGGGGATCAGAGGGTCGGGGGAGCAGGTGCCCAGCATGGGCCAGCCGTGTAGACCCCGGGGCTGTCATCACAGGAGGGGTCCCACTCCCCATCCTGTGTTCTGACCACTTCAGTTACGAGCACCGTGCGCCCGGGGTCGGGCTCCTCCTGACCTCCACCTACCCGTCCACCGTGTGGCTCCCTGGCCCCTGTGGTCCGTCCAGGCCCCAGCATTGGCGGCCACCGTGTCAAAAGCCCAGAGACAGGGCCTGGCACTGTGGTGCTCACAGAAGAGATCTGGGAATGAACGAATCACTGCCATCGCCACCCTATGGCAGCCACCGCTCACCGACGACTTCACGGGGGCCAGGTGCTCAGCACACGGTGCGAGTGTGTTCGTGTCACATCCTGTCAGCCCAGCTGGGGCCATCGTTAGCTCGGTTTAGGGACACAGAAGTGGGTGGGCAGTGGCGGTCGCCATGTGACCCAGGCCTGCTGGCCCCTGCTCCCTAGAACACCCTACAAGGGCCCGCGTCACCAAGGCCAGGGCCTGGTGATTCCTGCACTTTGGGGGATACAACGTCCCCTACATGGGAACCCCAGGAAGGGCCCCAGCTGTTTCCCCCAGTGGTCAGCAGGCTTGGGGTCTGCAACCTGCAAGAGCTCACCCTCCACCCTCATCCCCCACATGGTTGCTTGGGCAGAAAACTTGAAATCACAGGATATTGGTTTGGAAGAGACCTTCAAGGTGTAATCGTTCACACACACCCTTTTTGGGGTGAGGGGTCTGAGTCAGGAACTCACTATGGAGGCCAGCCTCAAACTCTGAGATCCTCCTGTCTCAGCCTCCTGAGTGCTGGGATTCCAGTACACCACCCTGCCCAACTCTCCATTTTCAGATGTGGAAACTGAGGCCCCTGGGCCAGGCCTGCACTCTGTGCCCGTGTGTCCCATCCTTTCCTCCCCCAACCCCCCCCCACACCCTGTGGCTGTGTCACCGCCCTTTGCTAGGCAGCCTGGTGGCTGGGACAGGCCTGCGGTCAGCTGCCGTGCCCTGCCTGTTGCCTTGGGTGTGAAAGGTGTTTAATTATTTCTGACAGAGTTCAGCGCCAACATCTGTTGGCAAGCAGGAAAGTCCATTTAGGTTGTCCATCACCGTGACAGGCCTGACTTTTGTTTAGGAAACGCTTTTTCACTTCATAATGTGGTTGAGTGAGGGCAGCGGGTCAGACACAGCCCTTCCTGGGACTTCCTGCGCGATGCTGGCAGGACAGCAGCCTGGGTCTGGCTGCTGGAAGGGCCTTGAGAGTCCAGACCCAGATGGTGGTGGAGGCAGCCAGGTTCTGCGGGGACACTGGGGCAGGCAAGTCTCCTTCCCTTTTTTTTCAGACAGGGTCTCACGATATAGTTCAGACTAGCCTTGGGCTCAGTAGGTGGCATAGGCTGGCCTCAAACCCAGGATGATCCTCCTGCCTCAGCCTCCTGAGTGCTGAGGCTATCCCCATCAGTGGAATGTGGTCGTGGCAGCTACAACTGATGCATGCCCACCGCAGTGTGACATCCACAGCAGTGGCAGCTGGGGGTAAGGGCTTTTTGCTGCACTTAGCCAGGGTCCAGCCCTGCCCTGCCCATCACACCCAGGACCCCACTTCCTGCAGTGCCCAGCTGATTGGCTGCGAAGCAGAGTCCCGTGAATACCGCCAACACAGATGGAAGGCGCCCAACAGAGCCCGGGCCTTCGCGGTTATCTTAGGACACTTCTGTGGCCTGCACAGGCCTGGCGCCCCGACCTGGTCCCTGGGAGAGGACGCAGCCGCCCATGCGCCCACCCTGTACAGCACCACCTGGATGCCTTCTTAGGACACAAGGACATTGCGCTGCTCTGGGAACCAGGAAGAGGGTTCATGTCCGCTCCTAATGGGGTCGCAGGGCACCGGTCTCATGACCGGAAGGGACCCCAGCCCACTGCACACACAAGTCTTTCCTTTTTATTTTTGGTACTGGGGATTGAATTCAGGACCTTGCACTCGAGAGGCAGGCGGAAAAACCCCTGAGCTAATTCCCAGGCCCAGGTCCTTCCTTTTGAAACTAGAGAGTTCATTTCTGCATGGAGCTGCCTGGGCCAGGACCGCAGCTCCCCACTCAGCCATCTGTGGCACCCGGTGAGTGACAGGGTCCACCCGTGACCGCCTGCCTTCATGGGCTCGGTTCTAGGCTCTGAGAGGGCCGGGACCCCTGCTGCGGAGCCCGATGCAGGGTGGTCTGAGGGCCAGGGGTCCTGGCACCCTGTCACACGGCGTCCCCAGGGGTCAGGGCCATCAGAGAGAAGGGGCCGGGAGGTGAGCGGGACTTGGGGGCCAGAGGGCCAGAGGGGCAGGATGCCTTTCAAACGGCAAGCGCAGGACGGAAACGGGAGGCTGCCACTGGCAGTGGCCAGGGGTGCTGTACGGGGGAGGCGTGTCCATGGCTCTCACCACCGCCTGTCCCAGCTCCTTCCTTGACATTTGCAGCGAGTACGGTGGTGGCCCAGACGGAGGAGCAGTGGGGCTGCGGTCACCGTCATGCACTGACAGAGGCCGCTCAGGGAGGACACAAGGGCTGCGTGTAGGGGGAGAAAACAGGCTTCCCCAGCCTGTTCCGGTGCATTAGGGCCCAGGGAGGCAGCGGCCCCTCCTTTGCCTACATCACAGTTTAACTTGACAGCCGGGCTGGCTGGGAACAGCGCCCTGTGAAGCTGCCTTCCCGGGCCAGACGAGTCCTGTGCGTCCACCTAGGAACTCAGCCTCACTTCCCAAATTGGGCACACACAGCCCCTCCCCACACTTCCCAGCCTGTGTTTATGCAGAGACACAGGTGGACTTGAACACTGTTCTTTCCCTGCTCAAGGCTGAAGGCTGAGTCCCGCCTGGTCCAGAGAGAAGGGCCATCAGTAAAAAACCAAGCGACAGCAGACTATGGCGAGGCAGAGCAGAAGGGAGCCTCCCACCTCGTTGGTGGGAATATAAACTAGTACAGCCACTGTGCAAATCAGGGCGGAGCGTCCTCAGAAAACCACTAGAAACTCCACCAGACCCAGCTCTTCCCCTCCCAGACATCTTCGCCAAACAGTTACAGACGTCACATCATCGCAGTGACCCGGGCACACCCACGTGTACAGCTGCTCGATCCTCAGTCGCTACCTCTTGGAAGCGGCCTACGTGTCCAGCAGCAGATGAGTGGCTGAGGGAACTGTGGCGGTTTCGCACAATGGAGCACTACTCTGCCATAAAAAGGGATGACTCTGAGTCGTTTGTAGGAAAATGGATGCACCTCGAGACCATAACGCTAAGTGAAATAACTGAGGCACACAAGCGTGAATATTGCATGGTTTCTCTTATATGAGAAACCCAAAGCATAAATAAAGAGCAAAATAAAAGTCTAACGTAGAAAAGCAAAATAAAACACAGAGGAAACAGGGAGATTGAATTTCTGCAAAAGCAAGAGATGGAGGGGGCGGGGAGAGGAGGGGAAGAGGTGAAAGCAGAAGGAAGACGGCTGTGTGTTGTGTACGCGTCCCACCTCCCTAGGAGGACTGCAAACCGGCTGCAAACGTGCACTGACCAAAGGAGGAGCTCTAAGGCCACTGCAGCCAGTTCCCCCGTCCCTTAGCCCCTGGTGTGGTTGTAGCACACGCACGCTTGCCAGCCGCCTGGACACATCTGTCCCCTCCCCTGTGGACTGCACCAGGCTGAGTGCGGAGCAGACCTGGCCCGGCCCCTGCAAGTCCGGTGTTCGCTATGCTTCCTCTCTGCACCCCTCGCCATGGCGGCAGCTTCTGGGATGGCGCAGGCGGAAGCGGCACCCAGAACCTGCGCTCAAGGAGTGTTCAAAAACAGTGCTGGTGCCTTGCGGGCGGTCAGAAGCCCCTGGGACTCCCACGGGCAGGTGAGGACCGGGGGTGGGGAGGGGGGAGCACGGCCGGCCCAGTTCGGGCCACAGGGACACTGACCTTCTGGAATTGGGGCAAGTGCCACAGGGCGTCCAGCTTCACCGGCGGCTTGTGCTTCCGCAGCAGGCTGCTCCGCGTCTCGCACAGCTTTCCCAGGACCACCTGCAGGCCAGGAAGTGCACAGTGAAACTCCCCCACGTAGGAGAAGCCCGGGCTGAGAAGGGCTGTGGGGCAGAGGGTTGGGATTCCTGCTGCAGCAGAGTGGGGGGCCTTGGCCCTGCTCAGAGCCGTGTCACAGCTCTGCCCCGGCTTTGCTCCTGGGCACAGCTCAGCGGGCTGGGGGACGGGCTACAGGAACTGAGCCTGTGGTTCTGGGTTCTGGAGTTGGCTCTGAGGGCACCTTCTGTCCTGTCCTTGCGGTTTCCGTCCTGAGCTAACACAGCCCTAGCAGGTCAGGTCCCACAGGGACGCTCCTGCCAGACCCAGGAAATGGTGGCTCGGGCTGTCACTGACGCACTGCAGGCCATGCTGGGAGGTGGGGGCACCTTTTGGGAGAGGGACTCAGGTGCTCTGGCTGCAAGTCCGTCATGGGCCTGGCAAGACTGCCCTGGACCCCTCAGGTTGTACGTGGGAGCCTTAACCCCGATGGGACGGGAGGGTTGGACAAACAGCTCGGAGGCCACGGTGGGCGGCTGGACAGGTGGCTGGGTGGAAACTCATCCACGCAGCACGCCCAGGGCTGTTCCAGGTTCATCCAGAAGCCTCTGGAAGGAAGAGTGGGGCGGAAGGAAGAGCCCCTGCTTGGGGCTCAAAAGGCTCCCCCGAAGCTGGTGGGGACAGACCCCGGAGGCTTGCGGGTGGGCGCCGGTCAGCAGGCGGGAGGACACTGCCGCGGCCCAGGCGAGACAGGGGCTTGGGGTCCCGTGAAGACGCAGGCGGGATGGGCGGGAGGTTAGGGTGGGGAACTGGGGATGGGCTCTGGAGGCGCCACCCCGAGGTGGGCGTGGGACAAGGGGAGCAGGCGCCGAGATCACAGACAGAAGGAAATGGCAGAGGGCGCGGTCTGCTGCGGGTGCGGGTGTTGGGCGCCCGGCATCCCCGAGAGGTCCGGCGGCCCGGGGCTTCACTGTGATACCATAGCCAATGCTTCCCGAGCCCCTGGGCTGTGCTTGGCCGCATCCCCCTAACTTACCGCCCATTCTGAGGGCCAGGAAAGGGAGGCCCTGGGAGCACTTAACTTCCGGTAAACCTGGTGGCTCTAGGTGTTGAGGCCCTGACTTCCGGGACCTGACTTCCGGCCCACGCTCCGCCTCCCGGAGAACCTCCCTCGCCCCCTCAAACATGACACCCTTTCCTGGGCCTCTGCTTGAGCCCTGAGGCCAGGGCATGACTTGTGTTCTCGTGGGCCAGGAGCTGAGCTCAATCAAGTCTGCCAGCAACGTGGGGGGAGCCATTTGCTGCGGTGACATCGAGCTACAGAATTGAAAAACCCCTGCCCCTAAAATCTGCCTAGGGAAGGGACACAGGTGCAGAATCCTGATCTAAGAGAACCTTGCGCCAGCTGGGAAGGGATTTAAGCGGCCTGGGGCTGCCGGGGTCAGATCTGAGCCTGTCTTCTGTCTCCTCGGTTAGTCTTCAGTAAAGCTTTTTCTTTGTGTAAAAAGTGGGTGCCACACCAACGCAGCTGGAGCTTAGGGGCTGCCCACAACACAGAGGGAGCCCGGGGCTCTGTTCATGCGACCAGAGCCTGCAGGTTTTGGCTGAGATTGTAACTGTAATGCTTTCGTGTACTTCTCAATACGGGCTCCATAGAAGAAGGCTGCAGGTGTTTCAGGCCCATGCTCCTCATCCCAGCTACTCCGGAGGCTGAGGCAGGAAGATTGAATGTTTGAGACCCTCCTGGCCAACTTAGCATGACCTTTTCTTGAAATAAAAAATGAAAAGGGCTGGGGCTTAGTTCAGTGGTGCAGCATCCCAGGTTCTCTCTGGATAGCATAGGCTGGGCTCAGACTCTTGACAATCCTCCTGCCTCAGCCTCCAGAGTACTGGGATCACAGGTGTGCACCACCACACCCGGCTCAGTACCATGCTGTTTTTATGTTGTAGCTTTGTAATATAACTTGAAGTCTGGCATTGTGATGCTTCCTGCTTTGCTCTTGTGACCCAGGATTACTTTTGCTATTCTGAGTCTCTTCTGATTCCATATGAATTTTAGGATTGTTTTCTCCAGTTCTTTGAAGAATTCTGTTGGAATTGGGATTGGGATTGCATTACATCTATACATCAGTTTTGGAAGTATGGCTGTTTGGACTGTATTGCTTCTGCTTATCGAGGAATAGGGGCTATCTTTGCATTTTCTGATGTCTTCTTCAACCTCTGTTGCAGTATTTTCAAATGTGCAGGACAACACAGATTCACAGCTAAAGATGGTTTTCCTGGTCTAAAAAAATCTCACCAAACTGACTTCCTGCCAGTTACTAAGGCCCCACATCAGCAGCATTTGTGGTGTTTGGGTGTAGTCAGATCGTGGGCTCCGACAGCCCAGTGCAGCACTGACTCTCCAAGCCTGACTTCCCGGCCTAGGGTGGACAGATACCCCCTGCAGGCATCTCACAGAAGCAAACGAGATGTTGGGTGAGACAGGTGTGGGCTTACTTGTTAACTTGTGACAAGATGAATTTCCCCAATTTAAAGCCTCTTCCAGAAGTGGCTTTGTCTTATTACCCCTTTACTCACAGATAGACTTCTGTCCGGGCATCAGAGTAGTTTGAAGCCCGATATTTGGGAGTGCAAAGTTGTGTGGAGGTTTGGTGGAGAGAGTTCCCACGCAGCGGGAGGGGTCGGCACAGCTGGATTCTCCTCCCAGCCCAGGGCGACCAGCTCGTCTCTTCCACTCTGGGGGATGCAGTGCCAGCTGAACTGGATTGGCAGCAAGGCCCAGTCCACCTCTGAGTTTCTACACAGGATGCAGCCGGAGTCCACAGACACACTGAGGTCCGGCCCCCGGGTGAGCCGAGCCAGCCCTCTCCTCCCTCCCCTGGCTGCCAAACACTCAGGGGTGACGCTGCGTTACCTTCTGCTTTTTCTCCAGTTTGATGGCTTTCTGGGCGGCCTTCTGTTCCTGCACCCACAGCTGCTGGTACCGGTGCTGCAGCAGGTCAAAAAATGGGGTCGAAGGCCTGACAGGGAAAGTGGGACAGGCGCGGTGAGGCTGGGGACAGCAAACACACCCTCTCCCCCAGCACAGGCGGCCACAGAGCGCGTGGCAGAGCGAGCGACTGCACAGCCAGAACCCAGGAAGAGGCAGATTCCCTGCCCCCTAGCCAGCATCGCCTGTGCACCTCAAGGGCCCCCCCAGATGAGACAGGACCCTGTGTCCCAGCAGGCTCTGCAGACTCCTCGAGCCCCCTGCTGCCAGGCCTCACCCTCAGGCCCTCTCCTTGGCAAAGATCCTGCTAGGTGGGGTCCCCTGCCCTTAACATCCTTTTCCCTAGAGAGCTGACCAAGTTCCCGCCGCTCACCCCATCTCCATGACCTTGACCTGCCCTTGGCATGAGTCCTGTTCACTCAGGTGAGCTGGCCTCTCCCCCCCGCTCATCCCGCTTCCATCATCCTACCTGTGCTACGCTTTGAATTGAGGTCGAGTCTGCCCTGCGTTTCTCCTCTTTTGCAATTACATCTTCCCTTACCACCTTTGCGGTGTCTGCCTCCGATTTTCTCCTGCAGTGGTTTCCAGCCGAGGGGAGCTTAGCCTGTCCTGAGTGTTTTGCAGCCCTCCCCCATCTGAGGAGTCCCACTGTTTTCATCCCAGTCTCGGTGAGGAGGTCGAGGAGTGGGGTCCTAGGCAGGGCCGGCAGCACCCCAAGCCAGACCTGCTCAGCTGCAAAACTCAGTGGCAGAAAACCAGCTGCTCCCAGGTGAGGCTGGACCTCTGCACAGAGCCAGAGGCTGGACCATGGCTGGCCATGCATAGAACTAGAACTCTGAACCTTTGGCTACAGCAACCCCAAAGTGATCGAGGAGGCGATCGAGTTTCCAGACCAGCAGCATCCCTTGGAGACACTGGGAGCAGCCACGTGACTCCACACCGTGGAGCCCGGGGCCACTGCAGCTGGAAGAGGCAGGAGGTGGACGCTTGGATCTCAGCCTCTGGGCTCCACCGGGAGGAACCACTTCCTGTTGCTTTAAGCCACTCAACTCGTGCCACACAAGGACATTGCTCACCGGGCTTTCTCGGCCTACACCTCTGGAAATGCCAGCAGGGAATGCTGTGCGTACGAGCATTGTCAGCACAGGTCCCAGGACTGGACATCCGACTGGCACAGCTGAGGAGTAATTCAAACTCCCCCGGGTATATGGTAGCTGGGGTGTCTCCCATGGCATCTGCTGGTCTGGAGCTGCTGTGCCCAGCCCCAGGCTGCAATGCAAGGACTCCATCCCTGTGTGTGCAGCCACCAAGGTTCAGGAAGCTACCCGGGATCGTCTTAGCAGCTGTACTAGCGATAGAGAAGTGCTGCACAGTAAGGCAAGCCCTCGCCTTGCCTCCATTTTCTCTTTTTCCCCCACAGGATGCTTTGTTTTGGAAATGTGACTTTGTGTTGCCGGGCTCCTGCCCGATGTGTCAAAATGGTTTGTGACCTTTTGAACTGTGTGACCTTTCAGGAATGTTCTGCCCCCTCACAAGAAGGTTCTGTTTCACTTGGCCCCCTCAGGAATGTTCTGTACCCCTCCCCCAGTGAGCATGCTCACAAGGCATGTGTTTCAGGGATATTCTGTAGCTCCACCCCTGTGCTTCAGGAATGTCCTGTAACTCCACCCCCCTGCCTCACTGAGCATGCTCGCCTACCCTGTGGATCCCTATATAAGGAGGCTCTCATTTGTGGTAGAGCGGTCAGACTCCTCTGAGTCCTCTGGGGTTTGCCAGTGTAATGCAAGGTTTTTTTCCACCTCTTCAACTGACCCACAGTTTCTCAAGTCTTCAAATTTCAAAAACTGTGACCCAGAGATACCACACCGAGTTGTAAAACACAGCTGGGCCTCAGAGCTGCGGCACTTGGCTGTGACCATGAGCTGTAACATTCGGCTACAGCATTGAGCTGCTCTGCTCTGCTGCGACACAGGACACTTTGGGCGTCCTCAGCTTTTACCAGATTTCCCAAGGTGCAGGGCTCAGGGGAGGCTCAGAACCCTGGAAGTGACCTTTTGATCACTCGCAGACAAAGCAACGAGGCCAAGTGGTGGCGGCACTGAGAGAAGCTTCGTGCTTTGTCCTGTTTGGCAGTGCCAAAAGTCTTCGAAATCACTGTCCACCCTTGAAAAGCTGGGATAGTTTATCTTGTAGAAACGCCTTTCGGGATTGACTTGGAAATGTGCAAGTCACCGGGTGCTGTCGGCCTGTACTCCTGTTTGGCTGCCCAGTTAGCCCCAGTGCCCAGCTTTCCCTACTCTCTCCCAACAGACCTGGTCCTCTCCCTGCAGCCCTGCCAGGGCGTGAGTGCGTGGCCCCAGACACGGATGGGAAGCTGGGCTTTGCCCGTGCTGTGTCCTGGCGCAGTTTCCTAACACCAAGCTCTCTGGGCACCGACCTGAGCTGGATTCTATCTGCGAGCAAGAGCGAGAGCGGCTCTTGGCTTTGAAATGCAGAGATCTTCACACTGCAGCGTGTGGTGCTGCCACAAACACTGGCTCTTTGTTCCCCGCCTCCTTTACCCCTGTGGTGACTTTTATTACTTAATTATTACACACCCCATGCTTTGAGCAGCCTAATTTATAGCTGCACTCTCTGATGACAAGACGGGGTAATCTGGAAATATCCACCCCCAGAGGCCTCCCCGCACTTCCTGGCAGCCCGCCGCATCCGTCAGCAGCCTGCCGCAGCCCAGCCGCGCTGACCAGCTCTGTGTCCTGCTTCGGCCAGTGCCCTATTCCCCGGGAAGAGGCCGGCGACCGCGGCCTGAGCGCCTGACAGCCTGAGTTACTGCGGCCCGGCCAAGCAGTCCGAAGGCCGCGGGCTCATTATCTCGGATAAACAGGTGGCGGGGCCGGCTGGACGTGGGCAAGCCCAGGACATAAATCGGGTCTATCAGGCCTGGCTTGAAATGCCCTCAATGCCTCCCAGATTCATCTCGGTGGCCATGGCCCGGTGCAGCTGCTCCCGACCACCCCGGCCCCTGCCTGGGAGCCAAGTCCTTTGCTCGGCGCATGCGCTGCTTCTCCTTCGCCTTCAGGCCTTAGTTGTACGGTCATTTCCGGGGAGCGGGGGGGTCCCTGACCAGCTCGCCCCAAAACTGCCCCTGCCAGGCCCAGGTGGGCTCAGCCGCTCAGTCCTGCATCGGCCTCCAGACTGCACAGCAGGGGCGGAAACAGCTGTGAGTGGACACAGTGCCATTCTCAATAGTGACTTGTTGAGAAAAGAACAAGAGAGACAAAGGGGAGAGAGAAGACAAGGGTGGAGGGGATTAGGAGAAAATTTGAGCAACTTTCCACAATTCAGGGCACTGCAAATTAGGCTCCCTGTGTTATCACTTAAAGGAAGCGAGGTGATGGAACCTGAAATCCAGCGAAGGAGATCTTTTAAAAAACGCTGCCAGAGCGCTGGGCATTTTGGGCAAAACAACAGACAGCACGAGGAACCCACAAACTCCTCTGTCTGGGTCTGAGAGTTAGTTCACCATCATGGAAAAAGTCACACCCAACGACTTGTAGGAGGACACACAGGACAGAATCTTGGGCGTCTAGGGATAGGTGAAGCGTTTCTTAGTCTTGAGAACAATACCACCCATATATGAAAAACAGACAGATTGGACTTCTTCAAAAATTAAAAACTTTTGCCAGGGATTTAGCTCAGTGGTGCTGTGCTTGCTTCACAAGTCCAAGGTCCTGAGCTCAATCCCAGGTACAAAAAAGAAAAAGAAAAAGAAAAACTTTTACTCTGCAGAGATCCTGTCAAGGAGACCAGAAGACAAGCTACAGATGGGGAAATGTTTGCAAATATTGCAAGGTCTGAATAATGAACTTGATCATTACGTATGGCAAATATGTACTGATAAAAATAAATTTGAAGAAAATCATATGTCTGGAAAAGAACTCCTACCTAGAATTAAAAAACAAAACCCCAAAACTTCAATGGTAAAAGACAAAACCAGAAATAATCCAATTAAAGAATGGGCGAAAGACACAAAGAACCCTTTGGTCCCAGAGGGAGAAGAGACAGTGAATAAAGCACATACCAATGTGGGCTGCATCTCCAGTCATTGAGAAAGCACAAGGACACACAGCAAAAATAAATAAGCACAGGACCAGCTGCCAGTGAGGACCCACACAAGAAGCCTGTCACCGTTACTGGTGAGGACATGAAATGTTACAGACCCTCTGGCCAACAGCTCAGCAGTTTGTTTAAAAACTACAGAAGAATTGCACTGGGTTTTTACTACAGGGAAATTCAAACTTAGATCTACCTAAAAATGTAGTCACACCTCTCCCTAGTAGCTTCGTGTGTAATAGTTCCAGACTGGAACAACCAAAATGTTCTTTAGCAAGTGAATGGTTAAACTATGGTATATCTATGCCCTGGAATAGTACTCAGCAATGAAAAGGAACAAACTCTTTTCCCCCCAGTACCGGGGAGTGAACTCTGGTCCTTGTGCTTGCAAGGCTGGTGGCGGAACCACTGAGCTAAATCCCCAGCGGGAACAAACTATTGATTATCAACACTTGGCTGAATCTATGCCTACGTTGAGTGAAAAAGGTCAGTCTCAAAAATTACATTCTGTTATGACGCCATGTGTATTCCATTCTTGCAGTTTCCCAGTGTGTGGGGAACAGTGGGAAGGGAATCTGCAGGGATACTGAGCGGGATCTTTGTGTGATAGAACAGTGTTGCATCTTGATTGTGTTATACAAACCTACAGGTGGTAAAACTGTGTGGAAATGCACAGTACACACACACACACACACACACACACACACACACACACGAGTATGTGTAAAACCGGAGGAATCTGTGTACGACATTCATGTCAGTCTTTTGGTTTTCATTTTGCACTACAGAGTCAGGGAAAATGGAATAAAGAATCCACAGGATCTCTCAGCGCTGCTCTTACAACTTCCTCTAAACTCCCAATTATTTCAAAGTGAGATTTCTTTTTAATGCCAGAAAAGAATTTAACAAAGCACACTA